TAACTCTGTGAGATCACATCACCATCAAGCAGCTACAAGATAGTGATCTTGACATACATTGAGCAATTCCACTGTTACATGAGATCACATCACCATCAAGCAGCTACAAGATAGTGATCTTGACACACATTGAGCAATTCCACTGTTACAAAAAAGCAAAAGGTTTTTCTCTAGTATTGAAAAAAAGAAGACTTTGTAAATGCATTAGTGGATACAAGGGAGCTTGCAGAATAAAATTTAAATAACTAGAAGAATTTTGAAAGAGCGTCAGATTTTGCTCATAAAAGAAAATATAAGATAGACATTGCTGAAGGAAGTTGTGATAGTGTAGTAATTGAATGATAAACCAACATACAATTGCTTCATCATTAGAGATATGAGGACCTTGTATGTGGAAGGACAGATTTAAATCTTTCATCAATAAAATCACTGATGACAGCATCATTTTCTCTTTTGATATATATTCTCAATACCCATTGATGAGGGAATTAACATTGTTATGTCTTTTTTTTTTAATTACATAATACTAAAGTAGATCTCCATGGGGTTTCTGAACCTGATGTGCATAAACTCCTGAAATATGTTTTACATAATAATGTTTTCAGGTTCAGTGACCAAGTTTATTGTCAAACGCAAGGAGTGGCTATGAGCAATAAGGTGATTATAGCCTTTGCTGTAATTTTCATGTATGTCATTGATATTAAGGCAACCCCATGACTGGGCACTTGGTAATGAACAGTCTCCTACCTTATAGCTGCATTTTATTGATGTTTTTTGTGGGATTTGGAATGATGGCTTAATTTTCTTTCATAATTTCCTAAAGTAGGTTCTTGATAATATCAAGTTTACTTTTGAATATGCTCTATCTGGTAAGTGCTTTGAATTTTTAGACACTTCTTTGGCTGTATTCTACATTACCCCTCTCTTGGAGAGCAGGTAGATCTTGTGGAGATTTTGGAATTGAATGGTTATTCTGAAAGTCTGGTTAACAAAAGTTTTACTGTTCATGACAAACAAAAGAAATAAAAGAGATTCAAGTAAAAAATGTTGCATTCCAAATACCAAGTACCTTTTATTAGTCCTAAGGTTAATGATATCATTAAGAATACTGTGAGGGAATCGGGTTTGTCTATGGGTTTGATAAATTATACATTCACCCAAATCACATGGAGTGTACTCTGTATATAAATCTTCCAATCGCTGCCAAAGAAACAATTGTATCACATGTATTCTAAGACTTCTGAAGAAATATATGGAAAAATATGTAGCTTACAATCTCTTATGTGGTATTTGTAATGAAAAATACATTTGTAAAATAAAACTGAGAGAATTATAAAAAAGCAGTGCATGGAACATCTTTATACTATAGTGTGCCTAAATCTGATCACCCTTTTAGCATTAACAGAGAAAGAAAATGTTACAGTTTCCTGTACAGAAAATGCAAGGAATCTGTTCTCATTAAATCTAAGAAGATTTCATTTAATAGTGAGAGAGGATTGCATCTTTAAGTGGTGGATTTTTGTATGTGGGTATGAACATTTTAATACCCTCTGCTTTATTTTTTTTCTAATTGGTGTATATGTGTGTTTATAATTACATTTACAGTTGAGTTCCACATATTATATGTGAATATCTACATAGCTCATTTTTTTTTTTAGTTCAAATTAATATTTTCTTCACTGTGTTTATATGTTTGTCATGCCTTTACTATTGTCAGACAATACATAAGAATACAGTTTTGAATTACATCAACTGTTTATTTTGTTAAGACTGGACTTAGGATGTCTACCTCTTTATAAAGCTATAAGGTTAGACATTAAGTAGAGAATTTTCACTGGATATTGGCTATTTCTCTTCGTTAACACTCTCTGACTAGGTATCATTTACTGCACATTTCACGAGGTTTTAGCGACTTACATTCAAAATTTAATTGAACTACTTTTTGTTTATGTTATAACAGTTAGTATAGCATAAACTCATAGCTGCTAATCCATATGTTAATAGTATATAAGTTTTAAGTTCTTAATTTTATATGGTTATATTTCAAAAAATCCTGAATTTCCCCTAGTGTGAGAAATGTGACATATTTTCTCTAGGCATCCCCTCTTCTCTACTTTATTCACCACCTCCAATAAGTACGAAATTTAATGTAAATTACTCACTATAAAGTCTTCATTGTTCAGAGCAACCATAATTTTTATAGCCTTCAATCTTGTTTGGTTACAGAGCCATCAATTAGAAAAGCAGACCCCCCCCTTGCCACACCCACCTGTCACATCCTCTCTTTCAGGATTTGTTAATAGTTCTCTCTTACTCTTAATACTATATTATGTATAATCAATAGAGAGCCAAGATTTTCACGTATCAAATGATGTATTGTATTACATTGTTTTCTGAACAGAGAATTGCCTTTTTCTCTTTTAGTACAAGCTTCATTCCCATGGGAAAGGTAACAACTAGCTTGGATGAATTTGTAATGGCTCTTGTCGCATAGTTAGAAAGCCAGAAGAATTGTGATAGTTAGGGAAAATTGTCTGCTTTTTGAATGTTATTATTCTATGTTCTTTGATGCATTATTTAATTAAATAAAAATTATTTAGTGCATTACTACCATTAGTATAGAAAAAAGTAGGGTTAAGTGTCATCGACAGTTGAAGCAAAGAAAGAAGACTTGGGTAAGTACTTTATTTCTTGTTTTTCATGTTTATATTTTATTTATTATTATAAAAGTAACTAAAATGTAAAAATAGGGATCTCTTTCGGTTAGATTAGGTAAAATAAATTATAATAATAATATAATAAAAATGGCTCACAAGGCATGCACGCGAGCAGCTCAGATTAGCTTGTGGGTAATGTAATTCGATAGCATAAAGTGAGCTCCACATTCCCCAAGTGATTTATAACTTACAATGGAATGAATAGTAGTAGTTAGATGTGGTTCAAAGGGCAATAAAATTTCAGTAGAAATAGATGTATACTGTTACAAGTTTAAAGCTACTTTGGATAAACAAATGTAGTTTCATGTTAAAATATGAAGTCATTCTGGAAAGAAAAAAAGGGTAATTTTGATTTATTTCGATTGACCAACCTTGTATACAGTTAGGGTGGAGAAAATAACAGATAAAATATAAAGTTTTACTGAAAACAAACATTTGACATGTATTTAGGAGGTTTAGAGATTATGCAAATTAAATTTGAGATTTTTGAGATAAAGAAAAGTATTTTTAATCTTAGCATGAAAATCACTTTGCATGTGAACTAGTATAAAAAATACTCAATATATTCATGGACAATTCATTTTTAAGTTTATTGAAAAATACCTCACTAAAAATATTATTTTTTGAATGTGAAAGACTATAATATTTATTGAATGTCTGCCAAATTTTGTGAAGATGTACATACTATATTAAAAGTTAGTAGTATCAAAACTATGAAGACATTAAACAAGTACAAAGAGTTCAAGTGGTAGGGCAAATTGACCAAGCCCATGTTGAGAGAGTTAAACATGTTTAAACTCTAGTGTGCACTATGCTATCTGAATAAAATAAATAATAAAGATTTCTGATAAATCAAAACTTCTTTCCCTTTTGGGGCATTTCTTGAGCAGTCTTTGTATATATTTACTTGTGTTTGTTGTTTAGTTCTGTTTACTGTAATTTTTTCTTTACCATTATTTGTGCACATGTATGCCTAGAACTTTGTTAAAAATTATCCAAAATAGTTGAATACTTTTCAAAGTTTGTCTTTTGTGTGTGTGTTTGCTTTGAATTCTTGCTAAAGATAGAAAGATCCCCAAACTTTCAATAATAATTACTTATCCATATCTGTGGTTTTAATAATGTAGCAATTCTTTCTTTCATTGTGGTTATGTAAAAATAACAGAATTATAAGTTTGTTGTATATAAAATGTACATGTACTTTAGAAAATCTTTCATAACATTCTTAAAAGCTTGGCATGGTTTTGGAGTCTGATTTAAGATCATAACTTACAGCAAGGTGTGAAAATTTCATGACTAAAATTTTGAAATTCAAAGGAAACATTGCAAGTTTATATTATGCTAATAATAATATATCATCTTCAGACGTACTGTGAGAAACCCATCAATTTTTCCTGTGTTATAAATGTGTGTTGGCATATCATATGTTTTTTATCTAATTTTAGTTATTTAGGAATTTTAAAAAAATATATGTGGTTTCCATGCTGTATGGTAGCAACAAGTGGTCGTTCTAGTTGCTTTGTTGTTATCATCTTTTGTTCTGTTTGAGAAGATATTGCAGTAACATATAGTATCTGGGTTGAAAGTATTAATGTTGTAATATTCTTATTTGACTGAGTTGATGTTGTTTAAATGATACAGCTGACAAAGGTCATAATGTTAAAGTGTCGACTGGACAAAGAAACCAAGCCTACCTATTGAATTCAGGCCCACTTTTTTAAACCACTTCTATTAGGAAATCATGGAGAAAAGATTTAAATCAAGATCGTTGTGCTTATTTCTACAGAAATCAATTCCAAGAGAAAGAAAGCTGTGGAACTAAGCACATTGTACTAGAAGCGACTGTCTGTTTTGTATGCACAAGTACATACTGTGTTTCCTTTTTATTTATCAAGTGATAAAGATTGTTTTCATTTTTACCAATTTCATCCTGTTTTATTATTTTACATGAATTAGAGAGACTCAGTTAAGTTATCCAATTCAGAACCACTCTCCTTATGTTCTTAGAAGAAGCTGTGGTTATTATTGAATCCATCTAGCTGATTCTTAATGGGAAGTCAGTAGCTCTTACATTGTTTGCACAAAAAATTAACTTGATTTCATCAAATTAAATTCAGAATTTGTAAAATACTTAACACCAGTTTTAGTTGTGAAGTGTTATCTCATTGACAAAATTTGTATTATGAATTATAGTGTAATTTAAAAGAATATTTATTATAGTTTTAATGAAACTTGTGAGCTTGATTGAAATAAATAATTTACAATTGTCATTATTTTCATCAGAGCCGATCAGAGTTATTCTACCAGTTTTCTCCAGTTTTAATGCAATCTATACCAAAAAAGACTGTTGATGCTTGGATCAGTTTGGGACAGAAATTAAATCCTGCCAAACTTATTCCTGCTCTTGTTCAGTATGACAACTCTAAAGATCCAAAACAGGTAGAAATATACTTTTCTTTTCTTTTTATGTCATATTAAGGTTATGTCAGAGCATTATCATCAGTTGTATCTTGATGGATAATGAAAAGCCTTTACCTCTGTGCCACGTAATTTAAAAGTAAAATATATGTATGGCTTTATTAAACTATAGATAGATTGAACATGTTATATTTAAATAAAAGCAGTTGAAAGGAAACTTTATTTAAGAAGGAACTAAAAAATATAGCACATGTAATCAGGATACTGAAGAATATAGGACGAGACTTCCTTACCAACTCTTGACATCTTCAAGCCAAAAATAAATCTGTTTGAAAATGCCAAAACTAAATTTACAGTTACCCTTCTTTCTGTGGCTGACAAGTCAGATAATTGCATAACAAGATTTTGGAAAAATCTCTCCTCCATGTAATGGTCATAGAATAACCCCTTCCCATACACAAGTTAAGATAGAACACATTATAACTATCCCATGCAACAATAGATAATTTCTTAGAAAGTAATACCTAGGATTCAATTTAGCGTATGACCAACATCAAATTCATTATATTCTAAATAGGAATTTACAGAAATTTGAAAATTCTGTGGATAAGAACTATATATATATATATATACTGTGGTGGGGGAATGAGATACATGGTGTTTGTATTTCACACAATCACTCATGGGTGTGTAATTACTGCTCACATTTTATTAAATGAAAAGTGTTATTATTACTTCAAGTAATGTGTGTAAACTAGATTTGGTTTTCAGAAAATTTAGCATTTTGAAGAACTTCATAAAATTAACTTTCATTTTTTTCTGTTAACAAATTATGGGTTGAAAATTATAAACTGATGTATAATTAAATCAAATTTCTCCCAAGTGTAAAGAAATGTTTAAAGCTAAAATTTATTATTGATAGTAGTTAGTAAAATATTAATGGTTTAATTATTACTTACCTGCAATTTAAAGAGAATTTAGTATATGTTCAATGAGTTAATATATATATATACTCGTTTGTACAGATTAATCAGTTACTCAAAGCAATAACAATTGTTCAAAATGTTAAAGCAACATAAAGCTTTAATAGCCTGTCAGTTATTAACTTGTTATCTGATAATGTGTACAGAGTTTACATAGGTTATGAAAATAATGGAATTTAGTAAGCAAATGTTTCAGTACTGGAAATTCTAGAAATGGAAAATCAGTAGATTTTATCAGGAGATTCTGGAAAAGTCTCATTCCTCCCACATTTTCCATTTTTCTTAATGACAAACCATACCATTGTGTTTATCTCAGGCTAGTGAATAATGATTTCCGGAAAGTGTGACTCATAAAATCGAGAATATTCTGCCTTGGCAAATTAGTAACAGGCTTTGAACTATGTATCTTCATCTGCAAATAAAACAGCCATGGTTATTGTTGGAATGATGTTTTTAGGCATAAAATAAGCTCAAAATGTGTTTGTGTACAAAAGGCAAACCACAGTCCTGTTATGTGTGTCAGTCATCACAAGATGTGATGATTACATGTAAAAATAAAAAAAAATTTTTTATTCATTTTAGATCTGAAAGAAAAACTAATTAGGATACCATGAGAAAAAAATAATGTTACATACATAACAATACTGTATTTGTAGTCCCAATCATCTCTTAAAAGCAAAAGACTGTTCCTTAAATATCAATTGGGCCCAAAATGTCATTCAAAATACCTAAGCCTATTCCAATAATTGTATAAATAATTGGTGACCTTGTGAGATAGAAAATTCTATTTTTCTTATGGTTATGGTTGTGTTTATCATTCATTTATTATTTCCTTCTTTTGTTTAGTTTATCTATGAATTTTTAGTTGCATTAAAAAGCTAACTCATCTTGTAGCTAATCATTTGTATTTTAAGAAATATATATGTATGATGAAACTGACACCAGCTTCCCTAGCGGTGATGTACAGATGCTATTAATGTAGCAGAAGATTATATAAATTTAAGATCACATGAAGTGTACTCTTGTGACCTACTCAGTGAATAAATACCCTGCCAGAAGCTTCAATAAGATAGTTTGTTATGAATTTCGTGCACAGCTACATGAGGGCTATCTGTGCTAGCCATCCCTAGTTTAGCAGTGCAAGACTAGATGGAATGCAGCTAGTCATCACCACCCACCACAAACTCTGGGGCTACTCTTTTACCAATGAATAGTGGGATTGACTGTCATATTATAATGCCCCCATGGCTAAAAAAGAGAGCATGTTTGGTGGGACAGGGATAGGAACCTGCAACCCACATATTGCGAGTCGAGCGCCCTAACCACCTGGCCATTCCAGGCCTCACTAAGAGAGAGAGTCACAAGATAGTTAGTGAATTAATGCTGTTTATCACTCGATATTGTTATTAATATTTTGGAATATTGTATTGCTGTATTTTTTGCGATTTAGGTTCTTTTTTCTGATTCCATTATTTGAAATAATATTGATATTTATGATATATTGTTCATTAACATTAGTGTAAAGTCCAGGCTAGGCACGTGTTTCTTAATAGTATTTTGGTTAATGTTGAATATATTTCTAAGTGTTGTTATAATTTAATAAATTGCTTTTTTGTTCTTGAACCCTGATTGTAGCATTGTGTTTAACTTAGACCATTATAACCTAATCAGGTATAAGTTGATTGGCTGTCTTTAATAGCAGTATTTGGATATTTCATGTGCAGTAATCAGGTTTATGATACTTGTTACCATTTGGATTTGCATTTTTTCTCTCTCTCTCTTTATTAATGAATTTTAGGTAATAACTGATGAAGAACTTAGGCTAGAATTTACTTTTTAACAGCTTTTGATGAAGATGGAATAAGGAAAATTTTGAAATGTCCATGTTATTTATACTATCAAGAATTTTTTGTTTATATATTTCCACCAAAAGGGTAGAGAAGCAAATAGATCATCTTTTATTCTTATTCAGTCGGTCTTAAAAGCACTTTTAAAATTCACAATTAAACAGTAAATTCTTGCACATTAACACATAATAGCATATCACAATTATTTTTTTAACATAAAGACTCACAAGTTTCTGTGTGCCAAGTATGTCATCATTCATTTTAATACTGAAATTTTTTTTCGTAACTTGCATCAAGCAAAGTGTGGAATCAGGCGTGTCTTTTAGTAGTTTGTGAAAAATTTCTTAAGACTGGGAAAAAGGATCCTTTTGAGATAGAAGAAGAAGAAAGCAGGAGCTTGAACCCACCAAGCCACAGCCCCTATGTACATCACTGCTCAGACACTGGTTTTTGCTTACATTGGTATACCTATCAGAGCTGCTATAACTTTACTGATTTGTTGTTTGGGATTTATTATTATGGCTTATTTATTAGTAAGCAAAGAAAACTTATCAGACTGCATCCTCTTATAATTCTGTCTTGTTTATGTATGGTTCCACTTGGAACAACCAGGGATGATGTTGTGATGCTTGCAGGTTTACTCATGTATTGGAGGCTCAAGACTTGTGCAGTTCTATCTTGTATCCAGTGTGTTGTAGACCTGAACACCTGGAACTTGACCAGCTAATTTCACTTGACAGCTGCTTGCTTCTTCAGGTGATCCTGTTATTTTGATGAAAGGATTCTGTTTTGAAATGTTTTGTTTTCAAAATATTGAAAATACTTTATATAGTGGAGTTTGGATTTCCCAGTTGCATTTAGACTTTTACATATATCTAGATACTTGGTTTCATCTGACTTGTACAGATTTTGATAGAGCTGCAGTGATCCATTGATCTGTTGACTTTAGCTCATTTCCTTTGTATGAAGTTCAGACATGGGAGATTGATTTTGCCCTTCCTTCTGCCGGTTTTTATTTATCAAGACCTTAGTTACTTAGGTTGTGACTGGAGATCAGATTACTAACCATTTTCTGTTGCATCCTCAGAGTAACCTTGTTTCTTTCCATAATCTCCTAAACCAATTAATATTTGGAAGCTTTCTCTGTTTCTCTGCTTTCTAAAACTTCAATGATGCAGTTAACAATAAACAGTTTTTTATGACTCCTTTTCTCTGTTTCTTCTCTTTCTGAAATCTCTCCTTAATTTTTGGGAGTACACCCTACTTATCACACACATCTTTATTGAGTGAATGGTTTCAGAGGCTTTGCAATAATCTCATCTTGAATAATACTCATATTGATGTACACCACTTGGAACAGAACTGCTTTTTATCTAGACAAATCTCCCTCCATCCACAAATGGCCCTAATAACTTGTTCCAAATGTCATCTGGGGGTGAGACAAGACTATCACCAAAGAAGCAAATCCAGAAGCATTAAGTGAATTACTTTTTACTGATGACCAAAGTTTGATACATCCAAGTGCAGAAGAATTACAAAACCATGCAAATAACCTCAGCAGCTGCCAAAGGTACGACATAAAAGTCAGTACAGGGAAGACAGAAGCAATGTTAGTAAGTAAAACATTACATCACTTAAATGTCAATATTAATAATACCAGGTTACAACAAGTGAATTCAAATATTTGGGAAGTAGTTTCACAGAAGACAGAAGAATGGATAGAGAAAGGAAACAAGAATACAAAAAGCAAACTATGTAAACTACCAATTAACACCTCTCCTGAAACACCAAAATATTCTGATGAAAACAAAGTGCAAATTAATAAACTCCATCTTTCTACCAATCCTATGTTACTGATGTCAAACCTGTACTCTTAATAAAAATCAAGAATGGAAAATCATCACATGCAAAATGAGATGCTTACAGAAAGCTGCTAACATTAAGACAAGATAAGAAATGGTTGGAACAACCCCAATCAGTGAATACATTGAAAAGTAAAGAAATAAGTAAGAATGCAGCCTAACCAACTTGTGGCATGGCATATAATAGGAAAAAAACAGGATTCAAAACAAGAGTGTCACTCAGGAAAAAAAAGAATCAATGACATGACTAAAACTCTGAATAAACATAGCCTTACATTGACCCAGGCCCCTCACCTTGTTTTGGAACAGCAGTTGTATCTCCCCACAATGAAAGGAAAAAATATTTTTTTATACATGTATACCTTTCAACAGCTGTATCGTGTGTAGAAAAATCTTGAAGAAGTACGTTTACCACAACATTTTTTCCAACTTTTGTGCCTTTTTTGCTGTGTCTTAGGTGCTGTAACACACAACAAAGCATGTCACAAGCACAGTAGTAAAGATACTTGAAACAATTCACATTAGATACATTCAATACTTAAAGCCAAACATGCTGCTTTAAATGAGGTCATATGAGCCAAGACTGCTCAGATTCTTGCTATTTAGTGTCATTAAAGTAGGTAGTTAAGATGTGACTAACAATGCAAGTAATCTCATCATAATTCAGGACTGTGTTACTATTATCTATTAAAAAACTGCGTGAATCAGGCATTAATTGTTGCTTTTGACTTGCGTAAGCCAAAACAATAATATAAGACCATGATTTTCACTCAACCTTGCTTCTGCTCCTTGTTTGATTATGGTGTGGAGGTAATGATTTTTTTTTAAAGTGAACCAAGACCCAAATACTTGCCACAATGTGAAAGTTTGAGTTAACAATGGTAACCAGTACACTACCACCTGAATGATACTTGGAGGTTTCAGGGTGATTGCTCAAGGCAGATAGTAATGTGATCCTAACAGATAATGGTCTGGTAACCTATTTTGATAATGTTTGATGCACTATCAATGGCCAACAGATTGAAGTCTTACAACAAGCCAGAGGTGGCCAAGACTGTTCTTGGCCCTCTCTAATACATTGTAAACCATGTTAAAACAGCAGGCATGAATTACTTCTCTAGCAAAAGACACTTCTACACAGCAGGTAATGGGAATGTGTGAAAAGTTCTGTATGGTGTCAATCACACACTATATCTTCAAAGACATGGTACTGATGGTAAAGTAGCTATCATGGTTCCCATAAGTCCTGGAAATCCTGGAGAAGACCTGGAATCTTAGGAAAAAGTCATAGAACTTAGACACCTTAATGCTATATAATAATGACAAATCATCAGATAATAATGTTTATTTTCAAATGAAACAAAAAATATATCTAATTTTCAGGCTTTACTATATTATTATTGAAAACTTTGTGAGATCATAATGAGATTAGATTATCAATGGTTGTGTTACGTCTCCGTTTGTTAATTAACTTTCCGTAACTTCGTTCCTACGAAACTTTAGCAACACAAGTCCTTACTTAATAAAACTGGTTTATTCTTT